GGGCTCAGACCGAAGTCCAGTGGCATTCCGAGCAAGCTGACCCGCACGTGCGTCAAGTTTTCGTGGTTCGCGGTTCCGGTGTCGACACGGGGTTTGCGACGTAGAGCGAGGTTGTGCTGAATTGTGGTCAGAATGTTATTTCTTCTCCACCTCATTGCATGGATGTGCCGTGAATGTCTGTTCGCGTTTCTGCAAGTGGTGAGGAGACGTGGCGTCCGTGTTCGAACTAACGGAGGAAGGGATGGGATAGCGACCAGCGCTGACTGGTTTACCCATGCTGTCTAGAGGTCTAACTGTCCCTTATGATGACTGGATGTTCAGGACGCCTCATATTGGCGACTGTGGCTGGTGATTTACTGATACTGTAGTTTGTGAGAAGACGGATAATGTTCAAACTGGTCGCTTTGGCCTCTTCGGTACCTTTCCTAGACGCTTTCTTGTTTTCTGACCCAGGGGTACTAGACACGGTTTTTTTCGTGCCAGCGTGGTATGTTTGCTGCGATGCATGCGTGGTTCAGCATGATGTTTTGAGGATTCAGCACGCATGCTTATTGCGAGTTACCGCACAGAAGCAGTCGTGTGATGTAAAGCTATGGCATTTAATACAGCCCGCGTCGGAGTTCTCCAGACCCGGGCGCGGCTGACAACGCCACCGCTCTGTTGCGCCTCTGGAGGCGTCTGTGCCGCTGCGAACGAAGTTGTCAGTTTCCAGTCCAGTTTCATCTCCTTGCAATTCTCAGTTCAATTTCATCTCCTTGAAACTGTCGGTTCAGTTTCACCTCCTTGAAATTGTCAGTTCAGTTTCAAGGAGATGAAGGTGTTCGGAACCTAAGTCATAGATGCTACTGCATGCCAGAGCGGTAACGCGTCGCAATGTGTCAGCCGGCCGTCGGACAACGCGTCGTGTCCGGACGCGGTGCGGCGTGTCCGAACGTCGCGAGTGGCTTGTCCGGAGACCGGACGAACCGATCGTCTCCGGCACCGGCCATATGAGGCGAGCAAGCCGGTTTGAACCGGATTCCATCGGATTCAGCTCCGAACGCCGGCCGGTGCCCATGGCAACCCGCACCTGCCATCGGCGACAAATAATTCACGGCGTCGCGCCGATCGGCGTCGTGGCCTGTTGTCAGGCGGCGGGTCAGCGTCGCCACCCATTTCTCAATGTCGGCGGACGCCGCCGCCGCGTTTTTGAACTCGGTGGCCCCGGTGCGAAGGAGACCATGGGGCGTCCTCTGGAGCAGCCGTGTGCATTGCGAGAGGACCGAGGGAGGGGGGGGGGGGGGTGGGGGAGGACGGGCGGGTTGCAGAAGCGCTATCACGGCCTCTTGATGACGCGCTGGGAGGCCACCACACGCGTGAGTGGTATGAGACGCGCCGGCTGAGCGGTCACGTGGGTCACGCCTGACAACGGACACGTCGGCGGTGCGCTGGCTGGCGGTGACGTGTGCCTAGTCGCCCGGTGAAACCCGTGTTCAGTATTCTGGCCGGACCTCTGTCCGGTTGTCCGGCCAGAGAGGTTCGGTGTTCAGGTCAGACACGTTCTCAGGAGCCTTGTCGGACACGTGTCTGTCTGTCCAGACGCGTGCCTGGTCGTCGGTTCGGACGCGTGCCCCGAGGTCGGATAGGGCACGTGTCCGGTGGTCGGGCGGTCACGTGTCCAGTGATAGGGTGGACGCGTGCCCGACCCGACAGACAGCGGACCGTCGGCTCAGGGCGCCCGCTGGCTGAGTGCTAGAGGTGCGAGCCGTGGGTGGGACACGTGCAGTATGCTCGTTACACGCGCTTGGGTAAATCCCGAGGAGGGTCCTTACGTTTGTTAGAGGCTCAGCCTTCGCAGGATCGCAGAAGGGAACTTAGGTATTGTCTTACAAGCCTACGCTGTGTACGTCTGAGCTGTCTGATTGTGCGGGTTTGTTCGCGGTTGTCGTCAGGACATGTACGTTATCTTATGTAAGCAGGCTGACTTGCTGTTCGTGATGTGTTGCTTGCACTCGCACGTCGCCAGCTTCTCACCTTTGGAGTCGCATGGTGACGGAACCCAGGTTGTTCCGTTCATGGTTCGAGTCAGGTTTGTAAGCAAAGTAGACCGAGCATGTGGCGTGTCGTGCCGAACCTTTTTGGGTTAGCTGGAGACCTGGCGAGAGAGAGAGAGAGAGAGAGAGAGAGAGAGAGAGAGAGAGAGAGAGAGAGAGAGAGAGAGAGAGAGAGAGAGAGAGAGAGAGAGGAGAGACAGAGGAAGAGAGAGAGAGAGAGAGGGAGAGGGAGAGGGAGAGGGGAGAGAGGGGAGAGGGAGAGGGAGAGGGAGAGGGAGGGAGAGGAGAGGGAGAGGGGAGGGAGAGGGAGAGGAGAGGGAGAGGGAGAGGGAGAGGGAGAGGGGAGAGGGAGAGGGAGAGGAGAGGGAGAGGGAGAGGGAGAGGGGAGAGGGAGAGGGAGAGGGAGAGGGAAGGGAGAGGGAGAGGGAGAGGGAGAGGGAGGGGAGAGGGAGAGGGAGAGGGAGAGGGAGGGAGAGGGAGAGGGAGAGGGAGAGAGAGAGGAGAGGGAGAGAGAGAGAGATACACAGTGGGGCTGTTTGGTATCTGAAGCAAATTATCATGACATTGGCGTGGAACCGAGCACCTTTTTGTGGTCGCCGAACATCCTCCACGCTGGCGGGGGCGGAGGTTCGCGCCTCTGCTAACGCGGAGCCAGCCGGCGACAGCGGCCGTCGGGGCCGTGCTGGCCTGGGCAGAGGTTCGCGCCCATGATTGCTAACACAGCCAACCAGCGACGGCGGCCGTCCGAGCTGCGCTGACCTCCAGTGGGGGTTTGCGCCTCTGCTAACGCGGAGCCAGCCGGCGACAGCGGCCGTCGGGGCTGCGCTGACCTCCAGTGGGGGTTTGTGCCTCTGCTAACCCAGAGCCAGCCGGCGACAGCGGCCGTCGGGGCTGCGCTGGCCCCCATTGGGGTTTTGCGCCTCTGCTAATACGGAGCCAGCCGGCGACGGCGGCCGTCGGAGCTGTGCTGCCTCCGGCGGAGGTCAGACGCGGCCGCCGCACGCTCGGGGGCGCCCCGTGCTGACTGGCCTCCGCCGGACAGGGCGGCACACTGCTGTGGGGGGGGGGGGGGGGCGGATCGCCACGCCCGTGGTCTGGCGTGGCGTGTCGCCACATGCTGATCCCGGTCGGACCCTGGTGAGCGGAGACTGGCTCTTCCCGGCTGTCTGTGCGTGTTTGTGGTGGTGTAAGTTTACTTTTAGTGGTGGGCGGAGTGTCACCGGAAGCTGGTGGCAAATGGCTGCTCATCGCCGCGTAGTGTAACTGTCGTCATGGGTGCGACGGCCGAGGCTGAATGAGTGCATGTTTGCCGCGGGAGTGGCGTTGACAACTTCCAGATACCGCTGTCCAAATGTTTTGACTAGTCATTTACGGCATTCCGACCATGAGCACGTTAAGTGTGGCCTCGTATGCGGTCCGCCCCAAATGCGGTGAGCAGCGCAATGATCGATTTCCGTCACTTGACCCCACACCCTGTGGTGCTGGGAGCTTTCACACTGAAACAAGCCGCCCATAGACAATGGCGTGCGTTTGCCACCCGTATGCGCTCGCTTAGGCGCGTCCAACAGCCGCGGCGCTGCCAGTGAAGGCTAACGCACTCCACCGGGCTCGTGGTGATTCGAGGTGCTCACCTGGAGGGACTTGGGTTCGAATCCCGGTTGCACCAGCTGTCGTGAGCGCCAATGTGACCAACGTTGGCGATGGTGCCCCACCAGTTTGTGGCAAGGTGACTCGCGATCTCTTGAAAGCAAATCGTTCAGCCATCGATATCCCGCTCCCCGCTCGGGCAGCGCCGGCTGCTCGCCTCCTCTGCGCCTCACCTCCGACTGTTCCGCTAACCGGCCCGTCCTCGGCAGGTTCGCCGCCTTCAAGACGTCGCTGATGAACCTGCTGCGCGAGCGGCGCACGCAGACACTGCCGATGGCCGAGGTGCGCGACTTCCTGGCGCGCCAACACGCAGCCAGCCCGTTCAGCGCCGGCGAGGTGGAGGCCGCCACCGACCGCATGACGGAGGCCAACCAGGTGATGGTGGCCGACGACCAGCTCTTCCTCATCTGAGCGGCGGCGGCCAGAGGCCGGCGCTCGTCGGGAGGCGGCGGGGACGCTTTGCGCTCGTTCTGCGGCGGGCGCTCCGAGCCGCGTGGGCGACGCTCTCCGCCAGCGTTCGGCCTCGGGAGACAATGCCTGGTAACGGAGGACAGGTCCGTGCCGTCGCGCCTGAGGAGACAAACGCGGTCTCCTGGGTGCCGCGCACTACGTTGCGGGGCATAAGCGTCTTGCGTCGGAGTGCAAGAACTGAGCGGGGCTGGGAAAGACTTCGGACCGTCATGCGCGCCAGCGGTCCGCCGCCTCGTCGGGAGCTCGTGCGGGACGTGGTCCGGATGTCGTAGCTGGTCATATCGTGCTGTTGCTGGTCGGTTGGTGCTCGGGGTCGGTGCCGCTGATGAGTTCCGTTTTGAATACACTGTTTTTGTAGAGGACGTCTGTGTGCCTAGTCACATGCGCTGTAGGCATTGGAGTGAGGTGCTCAACGGGTGTGTTGATCAGGTCTCTGAAGGCGGAACGTGTCGAAAAAAGGCGCAATGACCGCCGGACAGCCGCCATATGGCCGAGCTGTGGTGAGCGGGTAGGGGTGTGGCGTTTGAGTGACAGAGTGCTGCTGACCTTCCCCGTCCGTGGCGCCGGCCGCTGAAGATGGCACCGCCGCCGGGTGCGGCCCCCGATCGGTCGGCGATAGCCAACGGTAGCCGCCGCCGCCAGCGCGCGGCGCTGGGCCGGCCTTCGCCGCCGAGGGGCCGCTAGCCTTGACGGTCCCGTTATGTGGGCCCCCGAGCCGCGCAGCCCCCCGTCCCCCCCCCCCCCCCTGCGCGTTCTCGGCGACTCCGGAGACGGGGCTCGTGCTGACGTGCGTCGGCACACCTGTCTGTGCGGGACCTTTCTGCGCGGCCTCGGATGCTCAGCGCGATAGCGGGCTCCGAACACCTTCCGCGTGCGTCGTCTTACGAGGCGCCCACGACGGGTCGTCCCGCTCGTCCATGTAACGGCGACCTTGACGCAGTAAGCCGTGAAGGAGCTGATCCGCAGCTTACAGCCGGGCGCGTGTGCTACTCGAAAAGACAGCGCCGCTACTGCTTGCGGGCTCGCGGAACCCTTCGATGTGACGTCATTGGACAGACGGGACACGTGAACCATGACCTATATTCGCAGGAATAGTGACATTCATGTGATAGGTCTTCAGTTGCCAGACGTAGTCACATTACACACACGGCTCTCAGCCACCTTGCGCTTGTTTGATCGTGCTGGACGTGCTCTGCCTGGCCCTTCCGGGCTCGCCCATTAACAAAAAGGCTCTTGCATACGTCTCGCCTCCTGCATACATGGCGCCTCGCCTTTTGCATATATGGAGCCACCTTCCAAAGACTCCGTACGTTATCGGGCTAAAACAATACGCTGGCCCCTCGGCTAAGAGGTGGGTAGTGTCGCACGTTCATGTCGCTTTAATGTGCTCTGGCCGCGTGATATGCCCCGCCTAGCCACTTGCTGACGTGTTTAAAACACTAAGCTGCTGATGTCTCGGCGCCTACACCACTAATGGTGACGATTCGGACATACAGTGCATGCAAACTGCCTTCAGAACGCCAGATGATGCTGATAAGCAGGCGATACATCGAAGGTGATTATGCTGAAAGGCGACTCGTCCGTGTCGTTAGGCTGACTAACGATGTCGTGCTGTTACTTCGCATGCCCTTTTCCACTTTTCTTCCGCGTCGACTGGCGGTGCCCCCCAGTCGCCCGGCTGTGGACCGAACCGGTAGAGCCTGAGTCCATCGTCATCTTCGTGCGCGTGCCGGCGCGCCCCTCCCACGAGCTCGCCCAGACTGGCGGCGCCGCGGCGGCGCGCCCGTGTTGCGTGCGTGGACCGTAAAGTTGTCTGGGTATAAAGTCGGCTGAAAAATACGCAGGCCGTTGTCTCGAGCCGCGCCTGTAGCGCGCCGTATAAGGACGGTATGGACGTGGGCTCGGCAGGGCACGAGGGTGGCACCGGCGCCTCGCACGGCAAGGGTCATCGCCAGATGTCACTGCGGTCTCTGCTGCTGCTCAGCGAAGACACGAGCGAGGAGTAGCCTGCGTGACATTCGGACGACAGTGCTCTACATTTCCCGATACCTGTTTATCGTGTCGAGAACCGGGTAGTCCCAGCCACCGCCTGCTTGTCCGCCGTCTGTGCTGTGACTACTCCGCGTGCCCGCGCGTCAGAGCGGCTTCAGGTGCGTACGGCCAGAGCGCAGCTCATGTGAGACTGATCCCATGGCGACGAAGACGTATGAGACTGATCCCATGGCGACGAAGACGTATGAGACCGATCCCCTGGCGGCGAAGACGTATGAGACTGATCCCACGGCGACAAAGACGTATGGGACTGATCCCACGGCGACAAAGACGTATGGGACTGATCCCATGGCGACGAAGGCGCAGGTGACGCGCTATATCCCCTCAAGGGGTGTGTCGGCGCAGTCCGCGATCCCCGCAAACTCTCGGATGCCTCCCGAAGGGGCGTCTGGGTGTCGCCGGCCCCTTGAAGGGCGGCGTCCGTCGCGTGGTCTTGCATCTGGTCACCGCGACACCGCGGCACCAGCTGTGACACCACGACGCAAGCCGTGACACCACGATGCAAAGCCTTGACACCGCGATGCGAGGTGTGACACCACGACGCCAGCTGTGACACCGCGACACCATAGTGAAACAGTGACGCCAGCGTTACACCGCGACACCAGCCTGGCCGGCGAGGAACTCCGGCTACTACTGCTTCCGACGGCGCACGGAGCGGGGAGGCACCGAGGCGAACTGCCGACACTTTCCAGTCAAGGCTTCGCCATGCACGTGCTGGTCAATTGGTCACCTATCAGTCCAGTACACAGTTGTGTGTACAGGCGATGCTGGGAACCAGCATGAATAAACCGAAGAAGTCCGGTTTAACTGTGCCTTACACAGCATAGACTGTCCCGTCCCGTTAGACTGCATGCAACAGCGTTTTTAAAGAGACGTTTCAACATTGTCACCCGTTATCTCGCGTGTTCTCGTGCACATACAGTCGCATGCGATGATGACCAGATCTAGAGAACAACAGAATGTTATCAGCCCCCGCTTGTTGCCGACTTCGGGAGTTTCAGCTGAGTCGCTCAGCCTGGATGGCTGGCGTCCGGCCGGTTTGGAAGTGGGCGCCATTGGCCCGCTGGCGCCATTGGCCGCCCGCCCGCTGCTAGTGGGGCCTTTGCGTGAGGACGACCGCACCCTGAGTCCAGGCCAAGGGCGGCGTGCGGCCCGGAAGAAGACAGCTGCCTTCTTTTAAGTGGTTCGGAGCCGACAAGCTGCCAACTCCGTCCTCAACAACAGGGCGCAGTGAACAGGCGTGAGTTGTATGTTGTCGAGTGCGGTAGCATAGACTTCTGCGACGTGAGTCACGCCTAAGGCGTGAGTTGTCGGTTGTCGAGTGCGGTAGCATAGACTTCTGCGATGTGAGTCACGCCTAAGGCGTGAGTTGTCCGTTGTCGAGTGCGGTAGCATAGACTTCTGCGATGTGAGTCACGCCTAAGGCGTGAGTTGTCCGTTGTCGAGTGCGGTAGCATAGACTTCTGCGATGTGAGTCACGCCTAAGGCGTGAGTTGTCCGTTGTCGAGTGCGGTAGCATAGACTTCTGCGATGTGAGTCACGCCTAAGGCGTGAGTTGTCCGTTGTCGAGTGCGGTAGCATAGACTTCTGCGATGTGAGTCACGCCTAAGGCGTGAGTTGTCCGTTGTCGAGTGCGGTAGCATAGACTTCTGTGACGTGAGTAACGCCTGAGGCGTCAGTTGTCTGTTGTCGAGTGCGGTAGCATGGAGTTCCGTGACAGATGGCAGGCGCTCGCCTCCCGCGACCCATGTCGTTCGACCCCGACGCCTGGAACGGTACCGATTCGATGCAGCGCAGAAGCGGTCCGCTAATTGCCGTGATGTTGCTGCCGATCTGGCTGCACTGCCTTCTGCCCCCGATCTGGCAGCGCTGTCTTCTGCCCCCCGATCTGGCAGCGCTACCTTCTGCTCGCGATCTGGCAGCGCTGCGTTCGACTCCCGATCTGGCTGCACTGCCTTCTGCCCCCGATCTGGCTGCACTGCCTTCTGCCCCCCGATCTGGTAGCACTGTCGTCTGCTCCCGATCTGGCAGCGCTGTCTTCTGCTCCCGATCTGGCAGCGCTTTCGTCTGCTCCGGGCAGCCTGCACCGTACCAGCGCTGGGGCAAGCCGCCGGAGTACGGAGATCGTGACGGCAGCTACTGTGTCGCTGCACCGTTCGGTCGCCCGCCGGCCGCCGACCACGGCCGTTCCACTCTGACTCTGGCGGAGCAGCGAGTTGTGGGCGGCGCAGCTCCCGGGCTCCAGATCCCAGCCGTATCTGGCTGGCGACGTCTGCACTAGCTGATGACTCGCACCAACCCTGCACTCGTGTTCCGTAATGTGCACACGTGCTTGGGTGACTTGCGTATGCACTGTAAGCGACTTTCCGCCAAATGAAGGGCAGTGCGCACTACCCCCATACTCCACGTCCATGACATCGTGGCCGACCCATGCTGCGCCGCACCGGTGGCCCACGAGTTCCCACTGACAGATCGGCTGGCGCCGCGGCTTACAGTCTCCGGAGCCGGCCGAACGCTGATGGGTTGTCGGCCCGGCTACTGTGCGGTGTTCTCGCTCAATGCGTACCATTAACACGCGCCCGAGTGGCCGGTCGAATACCCTTCGCTCGTGTAGCCCCTTAAGATCTCGGAGACTAAGAAAGCTAGAAAAATCCAGTGGCTTAACCCGCATGAAATCTCGCTTCTGTCCAATTTCGACGCTGCTAGGGCATGACGTCGGGGTCAAATAAGGCTAAACAAGGTTAAACTCCTGATTGGTGCCCCAAGTGCCCCTCCCCCCAGACCTCATGCAACCACCGTAAAAGTAGATACCTGTTCTAAGCAAAAGGTAAGTAACGTTTAGCTCAAGTCCGTGACCTTGTTTGACCTTCATAAGGTCAAGGTGACCAAATGCCTTTGAAATTGCTCCTATCTTGTCATTCAAATGAGCGTCAGGGGTTACGTTGGGCAGCATGCCAGTAAAACAAAATGTTGACCTAGGCCATTTGAGGTCAGTGACCTACTCTGACTTTTAACGTCCATGGCACATGTCTGTAGCAATACCCGTCATTGGTGGATTAAAAATGAGCACCGGAAGCTACCCACAATCCAAGCTCTCGAGTAAGAGACAGGTCATTTGCTACCTTGGTCTGACCTGCGTACCTGACCCTAGGCGAACTTAAGTTGCTGTTCTAAATCCAATGGGTTTATTCCCTTAAACCATATCTCAGATGTGTATGACGTTGCCAAGCACGGCGTTGTCGCATCACATTGAACGATTCCCTTGAGATGTCATTCGCTGACAGCCATGGCCTGAATTTGATCTGCCA